TGCTCTTGGAAGAGCAGAGGCATTCCTGGGTGTGCATTCCTGGCACAGCTCTGCCTTGAAAATTGCTGGTCCACGTGGAGAAAGGAGAGAAGGGGAGCAGCCGGAGGGGAAGGGGGGCAGGCAGACTTTGGGTTGGGGGGAGGGAAGAGAAATCCCCCCTCCCTGGACAGACTCTGCTGGCCCTGCTCCAGAGCCAGGAGGGGCCCTGGGCAGGTTCGGAGGGGTGGGTGGCCCCATGCCCTTAGAAGGACTGAGCAGCAACGCAAAGGGCCCACGGAGGGGGGAAGGGAGGGAGGGAGGGAGGGGACTCTCTCATGATCTTCTGACTTCTCTCATCTGGACTGCTCGAGTGTGGAAAAGGGAGCAAACTAAACAGGGGGGGGGGACGGTCTCCACGTGGGCAGGGGTCCTGCAAGGCTGGGCGCTCATTTCCACCGCCTTCCCTCCTCCTCCTCCTCTTCCCCTGCCCAGAAGCAAGGAGCGCCTTCGGCATAGGGCTGTGGAAGGGAGACCGTGCCAGGCTCTCCCGGCCCCTCCTTCTGCCCTGCGCTGGCCAGGTGGGGCGGGGAAGCACAGGTGTCTCTGCCCCGCCCCCTCCCTTTCCTGCCTGCACAGAGGGGGGAAAGCAAGCAGGCCCTGGGCCCACCAAGGCAGCTGTGGCCCCTCTCGGCCCAAGCTGTTCCTTGCTTGGGAGCAGCAGGGCCTCTGGGGGCAGGCGAGGGGGGGGAGTGAGGAGGCCAGCAGCCCCAGCAGGGCCCCTCAATGGTCTGGGGGCGAGGGAGGGGCCTCGATGCACCTCTTCCCCAGAGAGGAGCCGAGAGGAGGACAACCCCAGGAGCAGAGCTGGGACTCCTGGCTCAACCTCCCAGGCAGGCCGGGCTCCCCCCTCCCGTCCCCCCCCACGGCTGGCATGCCTTGGTCTCCCCACAGGGCCAAGGTCAGGGTGGCCGCCCTGCAGGGAGGCTGCTGACGAGGCCCTGCAATTGCAAGGCAGCTTCCCAGCACTTCCCAGCAGCCGGTCAGGATGGAAGCCTGGGCTGCAACAGGACTGCTTTCCCACAAGGCTCTGTTCATTTATTTAAAACATTTGCATGTTTTACGGGGAGATGTGGGGCCAACAGGTCAAAGAGAGATGTACGTATTTATCTGTCCATCAACCCCACTGGCCCAATGATTCTGGGGGGCTGAGATAAAAGCCCAGCCGAGTGAACTGGCTGCCCCTTCACAGCCCAGCAAGCCCTCCGCATCCTCCTGCTGCTTTGCTGGCTTCTGTTTTGAAACTGGGAATGAGCTTAAATCGGCAACCGGGTGAAGCCTGCAGTGCCAAGCGCAGCCTACCTGCATGCTGCATCAAGAGAGGACTCAGCCTTGCCTCAAGATCAATGTCTCCACCTGCTCAACGACCTGCTGCATGGCCCGGCTTAGCCACGGCAGAAGACCCCGAGAAGCAGCTGCGCCTTGGCCCAGGAGGGCGTCTCTGCGCACCAGAGCCCCCTCCCCAACCACTCCCTCCCCCACAAGGAGGACAAGATTGGGAATTATACCAGAAATATATAATAGAGATTTGAAATATTTGATTGTGAATGTTTTAACAGCAGCTAGAATTGTATTTGCAAAAAAATGGAAAAATGAGAAAATACCAACGCAAGAGGAAACTATTCAAAAAATAATGGAATGTGCGGAAATGAGTCAATTGACATTTGAAATTAGAGAACAAGAACAATTTTACAAGGTTTGGGATTTGTTTTATCAATGGTTAGATAAAAATCATGATAATGGGAACAGTGGGATAACTTTTTATATTTTAAGAATAATACAATTTTTATATGCAATACTTTCAGGGTTTAGCATTGTTAAACAGATTAGAACGATGTAATGGAATGATGTAAGATCTCGATATATAGAATATTCTGTTTAAAATGTAGAAATAATAATTGGAGTTGAACTATTGATGCAAAAGGATGTTGTATGTATGAATTCAATACTTAGAATAACTCGTTTAAAATTAAGGGATAACAATTACAGTTGAATAACTGATATATAATGATAATAATGTACTTATGTTTACCTAATGAACAATTGGTGATTCGATAGATAATTGTAAGTGGTGACCATGGAAAGGACGCACAAAATCTTGTAACCAAACGATACACTACATGAAATGTTTTATGTCTGTTTTTGTTTAAAAAATTTTTTAAAAAAATTAAAAAGAGGGTTCTCCTTCCCCAACCCTTTCCCTGGGACAAGTCATACAGGTAATCTGGAGGGCATGTGCCAGGGCCAGAGGAACCAGCTAATAGGTGTGTGAGGCACCTGAATGGCAGGTCCAGCTGGGACTAGGAGGGCCTGGGGCTGCCCAGTGGCCCTGGCCAAGAGCAGACCCTCCTCTGTCCTTCCCCAGCTACCTCCGGCCTGGGCTGACCTTCCCTTCGGCAGGAGGCTCCCAACTGCTGCGGGCAAGCCAGCCGACTGGTTCCCCCCCCCCCTTTTCCCTCTCCGGAGGAGGAAGCGCCGAGCCAGCCCAAGTTCTGCATCCAACAGGTGAAGTCAGCGCAAGCCCCCTCCCAACCCTTCGGCTTGCAGCCCCCAGGCGGGGGTGGGCAGGCGCTCCCCCCCCCCGAGCAACGCTCAGGTAGGCGTGAAGCGGGGCGGGGAGGGAGGGGCCTGTCGGGCGACCATCACGGACAATATAAAACTCGCGCGCGCCTGTCCAGCGCCGCCGTCGCCCAGCAGCCGCTCACCGCCCGCACGTGCCTGCCTGCCTGCCTGCCTGCCTGCCTGCCTGCGTGCGGAGAGCGCGGAAGCCCCGGGGATCCCTGGCCGGGGAGAGCGCCCGAGTCGGGCGGCGCAAGATGCGAGGTGGGAGCTGAGCCGGACCGTCTCCGCCCGCCGCTCGCCCTCCAGCCCAGCCATGTCCTTCGCCCTGCTGCGCTCGGCGCCCAGCCGCTTCCTGTACCCGGAGATCAGCATGCTGTCGGAGGAGGACGAGGAGAACGGCAGCGGCGAGAGCTCGGGCTCGGACGAGAAGCCCTACGCGCTGGAGGCGGGCGCCTACGGGCTGCGGGGCGGCAAGCGCGGGCCGGGCAAGAAGGGCGGCCGCGGCGTCTCCCGCGAGCCCCGCCAGCGCCACACGGCCAACGCGCGCGAGAGGGACCGCACCAACAGCGTCAACACCGCCTTCAGCGCCCTCCGGACGCTCATCCCCACCGAGCCGGCCGACCGCAAGCTCTCCAAGATCGAGACGCTGCGCCTGGCCTCCAGCTACATCGCGCACCTGGGCAACGTCCTCCTGGCCGGGGAGGCCTGCGGGGACGGGCAACCCTGCCACGCCGGTCCGGCCTTCTTCCACCCCGCCGGCGGAGGCGGCGGCAAAGGCGGCGGCAGCCCCGCCGCCCACGAGAGCGAAGGCTCCCAGCCCAAGCAGATCTGCACTTTCTGCCTCAGCAACCAGAGGAAGCTGGTGAGTGGCTGCTGGGGGGGGGGCGTTAAGGGGGGGGCCCACCGGGGAACCCCCTCCGATTGATCTGGCCGGCAGAAGACCCGGCTGGCTCCCCCCAGGGCTCCAGGCTGCCCATGCCTGCCCCGCATAGGAGGCTCTGCACCCCTCCCTTTCCCTGGTCCCCCCCCCAATTGATCAATGGGGCGAAAAGCCAGTGGGGCAGGGCAACCCAGAGAGTGGGCAGGGCAGGGGAGGGGTTCTGGGCCTTTGGCAAGCCAGGCTTGGGCCATCCTGAGGGCATCTTGGTGGCTCAGGGTTCTTTCCAAAGGTTTCCCAGCCCCCCCCCTTGAGGCTGAGAGGCAAGGCTTCCCCAAAGCTCCCACCAGAAAGCAGGGACCCCGATCCTCCTCAGAGCAGGGCAGCCACCTGGGCCCCAACCTTTCCAGGGAGCAGAGGGCTCCTGCTGGGAGGCTGACGTTGCTTCCAAGCACAACTGTTCCCCTGAGGGAGGAAGCCCCTGCAGGCCCACCCATCCGCACACCACAAACAGCCCCCACCCCAATACCAGCAGAGGCCTACAAGTGGAAGGGAAGAGAGATGTAGGAGGAGCTCCATTGGGGATGCCATGCAAAGCCCTGCTCGGCCCTCAGGCCTGCCTGCTCCAGAATCCACTGGGGGCTTTGGGGAAGGGGACCTACCCACCCAAGGCAAAGCCCCCCTCCCCCTCTAGTGGGACCATAAAGACCCAGACTGCCGCCCAGTGTGCCAGCCTCGGATCTTCCCACACCTGCTGTATCCATTGCCGCGGCTGATCGGGATGAGGGGCTTCTCTGCCACATATTTTAGGCCTGGGGACCCCTCACTCCACGGACACACAGCCTGCCAACTCCGTGACTGCCAAGCACAAGGACCCTTCGTACCCGACAGCTGTCCGGCCGCTGCCCATATTTTGGCCTTGCATGGGAAGAGGCTGAAGCCCACCCACAGTATGGCTGAAAGCATTTGACTGCAAGCCCTCCGCTCAGAGACTTCGGCAAGGAACGTTCAGCATTGTTAAAGCAAAGAAACACGGAGAAGCGACAGGCGCACCTGGGACACTTTGGGCTGTAACTATCCTTGAAGATTTTAGCTGTGATTTTTTTAAAAAACTCTTTTTAAATATTTTTAAAAGTGAAACAAATGCATTTTCCCATTGACTGTTTTGGACGTCTTCCTCCCACAACAGCCTGCAGTTCTGACGAGGAAACTCTCTTGAGTTCATAAATAATGTGCCGCAAGCAGTTGTAGCCTAACGGAAAGTGCCACACAATACAACGCGCACGTCTCCCTTCCCGCGTGGAAGGGATTAAGGAAGGGCTGCGTTTCCATCTGGCTGGGTAAAGGGGGCTCTAAGGCAACTGGCCCTCAGTGGGCCCAGGATGACAGCCTTCCTCGGGGCCAGAGGCTACAGAGGCTGGGGCGCCCAAGGGCAGAAAGCAGGGTGGCCACTCTGGGATGACAGCAGAAGGCACCTCCTCATGAGAAGCCACCCTTTGTGTGAGAAGGAGCGGAGGTGGTCCAGGAGCAAGAAATGGGGGCGCCTCCAGACTCCCAGAGGTACCCAGATTATGACCTGTGGATGTAATTGTGTCTACAGGGCAACCGAAACATTTCCTCAAATCAATCTTAATGATGGGCACATTTTGGTTAACATTCAATGGAAGAGTTTATGGAAGCAGACAAGATGAAAAAGGACGTAGAGAGGCGTCCGAGGAAAAAAACAAAACCATCAGAATTCAATCTTGGCCAGTTGGCTGGGAGGGGACTCAATTCTCCACTTACTGATCCTGGATGATTCGCTTCACACGAACAAAACAAGCAAGCTTCTTGTGGAAAGGGAAGCGGGTGGCCTTGTCCAGTGGGGCTCCCTTGACCTCCCCTTCCCTCTCTCAAGCACCGCAACACGAGTGGATCCCCACTACCGCAGCACGGGGAGCCAAAGCAAGCGGGCTTCCCTTCCACGCTCAGCCGTCGAAAGGGGCAAAGAGCAAGAGAGGCGGCCAGACCCCGCGGATCCGAGAGGAAGTGAGTCTTCAGTGCAAAGGAGCTCTTAAAAAACCCTCCCTCTCCTTAACTCACACCTGCAGCCCTCCAGACTACACCACACAAACGGCACACAAGTGCCTCAAACCTTCTCTAAAGCGGGGTGGGGTGGGGGGGCTGTGCAACGTACGTCCCTCTCCTTGCACTTGGAGAGAAAGTAAGCCACTTCTTAAACACGGCATAGGTGTCAATTTGCAATGCAAATTCCAAGGTCTTGTGCTTCTCACAGCTCCCGTAATTGTTTAGAGACAGCTGTGGTTTCAGGGCTCATTTCTCACAGGCACAAAAGTTCCACGCATTTATTCTGTTTCTCTACGTGGGGGCAAGTGCTGGGATTTTGCTCTGGGAGAGTGGGCATTTTTCTCCGCCAGCTGCTCTCCTGAGGAATTTGAGCAAGGATCCAGGGCAAGAGCAGAGCTCCGCAGCGGCCCAATTCCTAAAGCCCCAGAAGACAGAAAAACACCCGGCCACTTCCAGTCTGGCTGCGAAAGGAAAACTGCGCTGAAAACTGAGTTCCTCTGCCCTTCGAAAGGGTGTGTGTGCGTGCATGCAGGGAGAAGCAGCCACATGAGCACGCAGTGCTCTTAATCTCAACAGCGCACTGAAAATACGCATCGTGACATCCAGGAACAGAGGCTGCTAGAGAGAGAGAGAGAGCCACGGGAAACGCACCTTCTTGAGTTTCAGCGTGAAAAGGGAGATTTGCAACAGAAACCTATTTTGCTCCCGGGCAGGCGCTTCTGTAAACCTATCTGTGGAGCAGAAGACCTTCCAAAGGTCATGGCACAGAAGGCATCATCCATCACCCAGGAGGAGAAAATATTTACTGGGGCGACATCACCCCACCCACCCCCCTTGCCCAGGAACCCGATGCTATTTTATGAAACCTTTCTATCTGGGAGGCAAGCCTGCTTTTGCAACCGTTTGACCCACTTGAAAGTAGATTAGCTTGGTCTTCGCAACCGAGGTCTAGAATTAGGATTGCGGTTGGAGAAATCAATAACAACACGATGCAGCTGAACGTGGAGGGCACCCTCTCTGCTCTCCTGCAACGGCATTCCTTAACTTTGCCAGTGTCAGTCCCTCCCAGTCTCTTTGCCCAGAGGACACAAAGGAGGATTCTGAAATGATCTCATACGAAACTTCCAGAAGAGTCGGAAGGAGGAACAACTACTCTCCAGCAAGGAGGAGGAAGAAGCCGACCGCCCCGCGTGGTGGGATTTCTTTGTGAGCCAGAGAAAGGGCTAAGGAAGGCCGTCTGCAGACCTCAGACTTCTCCCTCTTCACAATCGAAGTGACACAGACGGACGGAAGCTCTCAAACAATGCACCCCTGGGCAGCTGGGCTCTTCCCTAAAAATGGTCCCGAACTGGAGCTGCCTTTTAACTGGGGGAACGTGGGGGAGCCCCATTTAGGCCAGAAAATATTAATAAAATCTCAAATCTCAAAATCTCAAAATCCAGCTGGAGTTCATTGGCTGACTTCAACGCTGGGGCATCTTTGGACCTGAAGGGACCAAGGACAGCAAGTTCTGGCAGAATTTATTTATCGTATGCATATAGCCGCCCACCTCAACGAAATAGCACCCCGACCACCACCCTTTTTTCACAGGAAAGAAAAATCAAAGAGCAACCGTGGCGTTTCATGGAAAACAGGCCAGCCGGGCAGAGTGTCCAGGATTCCTCTGCTGTTGGAATCAGCATGGGGGCCACAGCTGCAGAAAACACCGCCCTCCCTAGAGCAGGTTGGGTCAAGGATTCCTCCAGGCCTGCCTCATCCCCTCACTGACAACCAGGGGCCTTTCCAGGACCCCCCAGGAGAGGGGCCAGGGCTTGAACCTTGGTCCTTCTCCCCACAGAAGGGGCACCCTGACCTTGGAGTTCCCCAAAGGAGGCTGGCCGTGGCTAGGAAGGAGCTCCCTAGCAGAGGTCTGCACCTGTGGCTCTTCAGGAGTAGGGGGCCCTCTTCCAGGAGCCAAGCGCGGGAAGGCCCCGTAACCTATCCATGGGGATTGCCTGCCTCCCAAAAGGTCTTGGGGGGGGGGGGAGTCCTTCCCTCGCATG